TACGGGATTAATTCGGATTTAGCAGCGTTAATTCGAATTAACCCTTCACCCGTCCACACAACAGAGCCATTTAGTTCGAATTAAAGGGCGCTTTAAATCGATTTCTGTACTCCACCTCGACGAGCGGAGTAGCGCCAAAATCGATTTTGTTAATTCGAATTAGGGTTAGTGTGGCCGCACACCACCGAATTAATGTGGTTAAAATTAATGGGGTAGTGTGGCCGCACACCACCGAATTAATGTGCTTAGTGTGGCCGCGCACAATCGAATTTATACAACCTGTTTCCCAAATTCGAATTATCTAAATTCGGATTAATCCCGTAGTGTAGACATACCCTTTGGCATGGCAACACTGAAGCAAACCTAAACACCTTTAAAAATCTGGGCCTCAAGGAGTCTAATTCCCATGGACTTTCAATGAGACCTAGGATCCGCAGTGCCTGGGCCACTTTTGAACATGGAACTTAGCCATCTAAGTCAGGCACAATTGAAAATTCTGCTGCTTTTCTATGCAAAAACATTACACCAATTTCACTTAGGTTTTTAACCCGACTTAGTTTAATCCAGTGCCAACACATGTGGGGATGCTCTTGTTTCAGTTTGAGTGGCTTATTTCAGTTTAACTTCAACTGTTTCCTAATCAATTTAAACATAACCAAAGTAAACCTGTTTTGAATCTGAAATAAATGTTCACACAGCAGTTTGCACCAGCTCAACCAACTCTGTTTAAAACTGGTGCAAGTTTCTTGTGTAAATAAGGCCTTAACTGTTCTCTCTGTTATTTCTACACTGCAAAAAACCCCACGGCAGTGAATCTCATTACAAAATTATGTCGACCAGCCACCGCGGTTATTAAATCACTTTTGTGTGTTCACGCTTGGCTTCTTGTGTCAGTGATGCGTGTCCTCACCTGGAGAGATTGTATCGATTGTACTGTCAGTGTGGGGCATTGTGGGATGGCTCCTGAAAGCCAGTAACAGTCGACGTAAGCACCGCAGTGTCTACACTGACATTGCATAGACCTAATTACATCGACCATGACTCTATGATGCACAGGGAGGTGGTGTTACTAAATTGATGTAGAGAGACTTACGTTGGTGGCAGCATAGGTGCCGACTCCATGGGTGCTCCAAGGGGAAAAAAATAGTGGGTGTTCAGCACCCACCAGCAGCTCCTTCCCAACTCCTCCTGTCTGCTGTGATCAGCTGTTCAGCGGCGTGCAGGAGGCACTGTGGGGGAGGGGAAGGAGCAGAATGAGGTGGGAAGGGGTGGGGGTTGGGCAAAGGGGTGGAGCGGAGGTTGAGCCTCCTTCCCTCCCGCCCCCCCGGGAACTCGTAAAGTCGGCACCTCTGGGTGGCAGCCAAATTTAAGGGAAGACACTTCCACTGCTAGGTCAACACAAGGCAGCTTACGGTGACCCTGTAGTGTAGATAGGTCTCAGACCCCAGGTCTCAGACTCAGGCTCACAAGGCTCATGCTACGGCACTAAAAATAGCCATGTAGATATTTCCTCTCGAGCTCTACGATCAGGGCAGGGAGTGAGTATGTCTACTCTGCACACTAAGCCCAGGGGCTCTGCTCACACACAAATCAGTCTGACTTGGGTCAACAAGCATTCAGGACCCATGTCCTAGGGCCTTGCTACAAGCATGGATCAGAGCCAGAATCCCGCTGGGACTCAGGTCCAAGACTGTAATTTTGCAGTGTGAACACAGGTCAAACCATAGATCTGAGTCAGAAAGTCTGCATAGTGGAGTAGGGTTGTGTGAGATCCGGGTCTAGCAATTGTAAACCCAGATTTACACAGACACACAGACCCGGCCTCAGTGAGCAGTGTTGACATATCCGTAGTGATGCATGCAGGAGAAACGCCTCCAAATATACAATGAATAAAGAAGTAACTTTGTGCCTTTGGTTACTGTGCATCCCCCCGGTGAAATCAATAATCAGTTGGCTGATTTCCAACGGCAGCAGAAAAAGATAAAATTAGGGTAAAAAAATTGTTCCTGAAAGGTTATAACAATGTTTTTTTATACGAGAACTCTATTCCAGTTTCACAGATCGACATACATCGCCTTAGTCTCTAGCTGGTGGGATCTCAACCTGGGGGAGTGCCGTCCTTTCTCTTTTATGGCAAGATTGATGGGAGGGGTCCCTATTTTTTTTTTCATTTTCATAACATGTAGTCACAGTATGAAATCACACATTTATGAGCCTTAGGGGTAATATAGAGTCTTATTTCTGATCAGCTACCAGTGTACATATGTCTTCCCCGTTGTTGCAGTATCTGAGCACCTCATAGTCTTTTAACGAATTTATCCTACCCATGAGGTAGGAAAGTGCTGGTGGGGAACTGAAGCACATAGCGGCAAAGGGCTTGTCTACACGAACTTTTAGTTCATGGCAAGATGGTGAGCAAATCTACCCCGCACTAGCCTGCCACAGACAAATGGTTCCTGTCAAACCTGCTTCTGCATGTTTATAGTTAATGCGCTTTGATCGTGTCCTCATCGAAATGGGACTAGAACTGTTAATGCGCGTGAATAAGGTGCACGTGGAATTAGAGCATAGCAGGCTAGTGCAGGGTAGGTTCGCACCCCAGCTTGCCGTGAACGAAATGTTTGTGTAGACAAGGTAACAGTACTGGTGACTCACTTCCTTGAGGATACGGCAGGAGGAGGGCAACTTTAAATGAGAGGCAGGTCTTCTTAGGAGTGGCACTGGCTCCCATTCGAGCTGCTTGGGAGTTTCTGATTGAAGAAGAAATCCTTGAAATAATCCCTTTTTTTTTAAAATTCATACCAAATTTTTTCACCAAAAGAAAAAAATCAAAACTCGGGGGGGGAAATATCTTGTGCCGCAGGGGTCAGTGTGAGTTTTGCCATTTATTCCGACGGGAGCAGGATCAAGACATTAAATTCTTACGGTGCTGATCACAGATGCTATCTTGGCTCCAGCCTCCTATGGTGTCAGACCGGTTTGCCCGCCTGCCCAGCAGGGTTAGTTGGGCCTTGTGTGGGGGGGAGAGATTTGGCTTCCAGAGGCTGATCCTCCATTCCTCACAAACTCGACCTTCCCGCTGAAGTCAGTGGGAGTTTCAGAGGGACAGGGAATGCAGCCTTGGGGCATCTGGTCCCATTTCATCAAGGTACTGAAGCAGATGCCTAACTTTGTATGCATCAGTGGGACTACTCATCTATCTAAAACTAGGCAAGTGCTTCCATACTTTGCTGAATTTGGACCTAAGTCCCTTGCTCTACCCATGTGAAGATGCACATGCGTATCGAATTTTCTCCAGAAATCTCATAATGGTTCAGAATATTCCTCTTAATGAGGCTTTATTTTCCCCCATCAGTGAAAAATGTATGGCTGTAGATACCATATGTGTTTAATCTATCATATATGACCATGGGGAGGGGGAGGAACAGTTTTCCTCAGTAGGTGACCAAAGGTGGAAATCTCCTCGTATTTGGCAGGGGAAGATTTCTTTTTCCATTAAAGGATCTTCAGCAGGTGCAAACCAGCATAGATTCACTGAAATCATAGAGAAGCAGTGAGACCCAGTGGATCGGTAAACTGTAAACTGGGATTAAGGAGACTTGGATTCTCCTCCTGCTCTGCTACTCAATCTGCTGTGTTACCTGGAGCAAGTAACTTCACCTCTGTTTCCCTTCCAATCTTTTGTGTGTCTTGTCTATTTAGACTGCGATCTCATGGGGGGGGGGGGGAGAGACTGTCTATTATATGTACATACAGCACCTAGCACAACGGGGTCCTGGTTTGAGCTGGGGCTTATAGGCTCTGCTGTGATATAAATAATAAAAACAAAACAAATCAAAACATAAGTTGAGCATCTGGCTCAATGGGCCTCAGTCACACCTGTATCACCGCAGTTTTACCCTGGTGGACCTTCATTGAAATCGATGAACTTCCACCAGTGTAAAACTGGAGTAACTCAGTGGTGATTCAGATGCTCTGTTTTTTACCCCATGCCAGACACTTACTGCAGGTGGGACTACACCAATTTACACCCGCTGAGGATGTCCCGGAGCAATGCATTAGTTCACATTTAAACTTGCGGCTCTAAAGAGATATAATATGTTTATATGTCTTTGAATGACACATAGACTAAACTTCAAGGTATTAAAGCAAGAGTCACCATAACAAATACAAACACCGAGAGGCAAACTGAGATGGTATTTGGGAATTTAATAAGAAATACATACAGCAGCAATAACATCAGTTAGTTACATATTTTCTACAATGCTTATTCCTACCATAGACGACTTCTGGGGTTATTAAAATAAGAAGATTAATACATACCAATTAATTTATCATTATCCTAAATTGCAATGGGTTTACTCTAACCTTGTTTCATATTTCTGTCCTCAGTCTGAAACTGGAATCACAGCCAAAACATCACATTTATTCTAATTCACTCTATGTAACAGATTTACTCAGCTTTCTTCTTTCCTTCCAGCTGAAGTGAGAGAAATCATTTTTGTTCTGATAATCTTTACATTTAAAAGACGTCTAGAAAGGAAGTCCGTCTCAAGAAGTATCTCTGTAGAGTACAGTGAATTGCTCTGTTATACATATTGGGCCCGATTCTCATTTACATGAAGTTCCACTTCCACCACGCTGGCAATGTAAATATGCCTTAAAGCAAGGGCCGCGGGAAGGGATAATGTATGCACACTTCAGTAAGGCCATTTCACACTCCCATAGAGGTGTAAAGATATCTTAGTGTCCACAAGAACTTACATCCTGCATGCAGTAAAAATTTATATGAGATTCCATTTTGTAATTAGTAAATTTTCTGGATTGTTAACAGCACGCTTTATTACAGAAAAATCACATTTTAGACCAGTGTAGGCATATTTCTGCAATATCTACACATGCTGTCCTTTCTAGCAGTTTGCAGTAGCATGCCTGGTTTAAAATGCTGTGCAAATGCATTACACAATTAGAGATTGTCGCTGCATGTAGTGATCATGTCAAATGCATTTATGAACAGAACCTTAAAGTTTAGAAATGCCTTTCATTTCCCAGGGAGACACCCAAAATATTGCTGCATGAACCCAAGAACACAAAGAGACACATTAAGTACCCTATGTCACGTCAGTTGTCAAATAAATGAACAGTCTGGGCTGAAATTAGTCTGACTGTAATAAAAAAAGCATTTAGGAGATTAATGTCTGCAGTACAGAAGAGAGCAGAGATATTAAAAGGAAACATATGTGCACTAAAAACAGTTACTTAATTCAAGTTCCTACTGTTCATTCTGAAGTCACACAAAGGATATTAATAAGACTGTCACTTGTCCTAGGTAGCCCTTCCTCTAAATGATGAAAGCAGGAGGCATTTCCACAAACACAAGCTGTTTCTTTTCTTTTCCTAGGCTGAGATACTGGATGATGGGGCAATAAACACATTCATATCTTTGCTGCTGACCACTTATTACTTTTTAGACTGATAAGCCTCTATTTTCAACTAATTTAAGGGCTGGGAATGGCTGTGGTGAAGATATGTCAATACAAGGCTTCCTGGAAACACTAAAGTTGATTCAAACAGCAAACATGGAAGTAGTATTTCTATAAAGTGATACTTCCCCCCCCCCACCGAGAACGACAAACAGTGATAAAATTCACTAGGGCAGAAAAGAACTTAGAAGTAAGCTATTCTGCTGGGAGCTAGGGGACCCGATCCTTTCTACTATTTGAAGTCAATGGGAGTTTTGTTATTGCCTGGGTGTGTCAGGGTCGGGTCCTCGATGGCAGAATAATTCAACAATCCAAGACATCTTACTCCGTCCTTTCAAATGAACCCCACTGGAGGGGTGGAACGGCAAATGTAACGATCCATCATCTGCACTGAGGAAAACGTTCTGTAACCCAGGTTGTGTCACATGCTGTCTGGACACATCTGTGTTGAATAGTTATGATTGGGCTCACCTACAGTTTCCTCCTTTATCTCTCTCTTCCTTTCCCCTCTAGTGGCTTGCAGGTTTGGGTTGGTGTGTAGCCCCATGCCCGGTATTGCAGCCTGGTACTGGATCTACTATTGCTCTGTATCAGTGGCAATTGGGGCACCGTTCTCAAATGGAAAACATCATTGGGTTCTAGCCTGATGCCAGCCTGGAGTTCCCAGAACAATGTCTCTTTGGGAGTTTGGGGCAACACCAAGCAGCCCCGCTCTGTATGAGTCAGTGTAAGGTTCACAATGTAGTTCTGTTTAGGCTGACAGGAAAATTAAATTAAACGAGGCTCTCACTCATTGTCCCCGGTTAACAGGCTGGGGGGAATGGTGGCTCTCCAGGGAATAAGGAGAGAAATCCGAGAGAACGTGGGAATTGAGTGAAAACTATTCCCTGGTCAGTTCCCTGCTGGTCCCTTTACAATTCCAGATCCTCGCTCTGCTCTGAGGCCGACTTACTTGCACAGAGAAGAAAAGGGAACTCAGCAGCCATCACTGGGGGGGGGGGCACAGCTCCCAAAACCCAGCCCCTCAGCTATCTCCTCTCCACTTTGCTGTGAAGGTCCCAAGGATTCCTAGGAGCAAAAACAGGTTAGGTGGATTCTATGAATGTCACCGCCACAGATATAGGGAGACTCCCACCTGGAGGGGAGGGGGGTTGTTGTGCGGGGGTTGGGGTTGGTTTTGGTTTGTTTTGGGGTTTTTGTTGGTTTGTTTAGGGGGGGTTGGGGTGGGTGGGTGTGTTTGGGGTTTGGGGGTTTGGTGGGGTTTTTTTGGGGGGTGGTGTGGGGGGGGGGGGTGGTTGGTTTGTTTTGGTTTGGGGGTTGTGTTTTTTTGTTTTTGGGGGGTGTTTTTTGTTTGGTTGGGGGGGTTGGTTCATTGTTTGTTTTTCGCTTTTTATTGACAAAGCCTTTTGGCAGCTGAAGGTCTGTTTTGAGAAGAAAGAAGGGCTTTTTTTGTTTTTGTTTTGCAGGTGGCAATTACCATTAAGCTTTGGAGTGGAAACTAGACGGTCCCAAGGTCGGTAGGAGCAGGGTGCTTCTGGAAGGAGACCCAGAAGAGAGGGGCTCAGCAAATATTTAAAACTTTTACCATGTGACAAAAGTGAGGGGGGGGGCTGGGGGAGCTGGAATGGACTATGGGATGGGGGAGGGAGCCAGAAAGGACCCGTTTTCTCCAGTTCTGAGAAATGATCGTATTTTGTTAGTGCCGATTTCCCGAAGAGGTTGGGAGGGAAGAGGAGGGTGCGCATTCAGATGTCATCCAAATTAAACCAGTGTCGTTTTATTGAAACAATAAATCATACATGCGCTTTAATCTCTTGGACTGCTCCGCTTACATTCGCTTCACTGTATTCCAAGGGCCGGCTACGCTTTTACACGAGTCTTCATTCCAAAACGGGGTCGCGTTTGCAGAGAATCTCCCTTGTCTTCGGCAGAATGGCTTGTGTCGGGTTTTATCACAATGGGAGGGGCCCGATCCTTCACCCAGGGGCCGAGCCTGGAACCACTCCCAGGATCTTCAGAGTACATCAAGTTGCTGGAATCGGGGGAATTCATACCAGTAACCGGTGTGACTGAGAGGAAAACCAATCCTTCCTTCTCTTCCCCGGGAGGTTAGCCTGAAATAAACCCCCAAAGTCAGGCGCTAATGTAGGGAGTGGTGGGAAAGAAAGAAAGAAAGACCGGTTTAGTCTGTGGCAAAGTAGTTCTGGAGACATTGTGATATCTGGCTAGATCCTTTAGTGAAGGGTATTAAATAATTCTGTATTAATAAAACGAATGCAAGCTGTATTGCACCAATGGCTTTGGTAGATACTATTTCAAAACTGGGCATTTCATTATCCTTGCCAGATTATTGTTTTAGGATGCACCCATTGGTTCCCTGCCGTCTTTCCTACGATTTTATTTTGCCATCCAAATTTGGCTAACAAAGTTTTTTCCAAACAAAAACCATTGCTCTGGTAACTCCTCTCCTGTGGATTGTTGTCCAATGAACGGCAATGGGGGAAATCCATTGTTGTCCTCCTTATCCCGCCTCTACCATTGCAGTCAGAGGACCAAATGGGGGAATTCCCCCCGCGAATTGGGTGTGCGGCAGGATCTGTGGAGGATCTACCTGAACAAACTTTTGTGTGCGGCAAAAGACACCATCCTTGTAACGTTTTGTGTGCACTTAACAGCCTAAATCTGACAGCTGTTTCCGAGGCAGCGGGTGGGTTTACTGCACTGGACTGTCAGTATAGCTTTCCCGAGCCAAACTAGAGGGACATGTGGGGGGGGGTTAACTCTACATGGGGAAAGCTCCCCTCCTGATGTGATCCTGGGGGTGAAGTGTTACTGGCCAGCCATGAGAATCGCGGAGCGTTCTGTGCTTTTCTGGCTAACTTTGGTAACTTTCGCAGGCTCACCCGTTCTCCAAAGTGCCTGTTGACATGAGGGTGAGATTCCTCTGTCATGGGGGGAAAGAAAAGGGGAACAAAAAGTTCGTGTGGGAAAATAGAGAGCGATTTAAAATAGGTTGGGTCCCCGATCTCCTTTCCATTTCTCTCTAGGAGCCAATTCTCCCAGGTCAGCTGGTGCTTGTAAACCGGAGACACGCTGCTTCTGTTTTAATGCGATTTGCATTTTCTAAAAACTTTTTTGAACATTCAATTTCATGCTTGGCTACACCGGTAAATACAGTGCCACGTCACCCGCCTTCCGCCCGGCTGTAATGAACAAGCCGAGAGATGCTTATTTAAAATCACGTTTCCAGCGAAAGGCATTACCCGGGTGCTATCAGCAGCCTTCACCTGAAATAGTTTTGCAAGACGGAGCGTATCTGAATTGCATTGTCCTCCGCTCATGCACGGCGGGACACTTATGCGCCGAGCTTTATATGGGGTTTCCTAAGGAGATTTTGATCCCCCCTTTTTTTTTTAACCGTTACTTTGCCGATCGCTGGGGTTGGAGTTGCGCTAAACGCGCACACACAGACACACACAGACACACACCCCAAGTACAACTGAGCAAAGATCAAACTCGGTCTTACTGCCCCCAGATTGCATCCAGTCCCGGGCTACTGACTCAGGCAATGAATTCAGGGACTCGGGCCTCACCCTGTTGAAGTCAATGGTAAAGCGCCCCTGGACTTCAGTGGGGTAGGATCAGCCCCTAAATTACTAATGTCCCGTATCCTGTAACAGGCTCTGCTGGAACAATGGGGCCAGCGGGTCCCGGTGCAGGATTCTGGGCCGGATCCCTTCCTTCCACCCCGACCCGCCAGTCTGTCAAGACACATTTAAAGTTCGGCTTAACATTAATGGACTTGATACAGGTGTGTGTGTGAGAGAGAGATACAAAACACGCACGTGTATTGGGATACCTATGCGCACAGATTAGTTTCTTTCTGCGTGTGTATATAGCCAGAGATGAGGGGCTGCTTAAATGTTTTGATCTCTGTTTAATAGCCCTGGGTGGCAGTTTCCCGCAGTCCTGGATTTGTTTTGGTTGGGGTGGGGGGTTGGTTTGGTTTGGGGTTTTTTTCCACGTGAAGACAGGCGAACGCCCGGCGTTGTACCTGACACATAGAGGCCGCCTCAAAAGCACCTGTGCAAAAAAGTCCCGCACAATGACGCGGCGCGAACAATCCTTCATCTGCCCCGGTGTCATTGCCGGGAGAGGCGAGCGACAGGACGTTCTATCCGATTAAACAATAACCTGGTGGGCTCACTCCCGTTCTTCTCCTGGATCAGTGGGACTCCCCGGGGGAGTAAAGACCTGCATTAGGTCTGGTCTGGATGGATTCCTAATTGACATCTGTGCCCGGCCGTTTGTGAACTAAACTCTGCGGACCACTGTCCGTTCCTCCGCAGGGCTAGACTGTGTCAGGTCCGGAATGCTGCGGGGTGAAACCCTATTTTGAATCGCTTTTCTATCCCCAGGCTCGGCGCACCTGGGAGCTACGCTACCAGGGTCTTTAGAGGGGTTAAATAAACGTGTGAAGTAGTCAGAAAAGACCCTTGAAGCCAAAGCCAGGAGTTAGGACGTTTCTTGGTTCAGTTTTAACTCCAGAAGCGGTGACAACTGTGGCGAATAATGTGCTCCTGCTTTCCCCTCCAAGTCTGGCCATAGACAATTATTGGAAGCAGGATCGGGCCCCGTATTTCCCAACAAAACTCCCCAGCAAATCCACCCCTTGCAAAGAGAATTTGTTGGATGGGAGGAGACAGTGCAACTGTCTTTGAAACTCATTCCCGTAAAAAGAAAGTTTATCCAAAAGAGAAGAGAAGTGAATCCTAAGGACACTTCACCTATATTCTGTCACCGTTCCCTGCTTTTTGTATTGCGTGAAATAATGACTGAGGGATAAAAACGACTCAATCCCAGCTGGCTTTATTCATCACTGATTATTGCTATTATCGATCATAAGGGAAATAAATCTGACCATCGCTATGTATTCCTCGCCAGAGAAAAGTGGGATGAGGAACTACTTTCTGAGATGCTAGCAATGCATTTCTTTGATTAATGGATAGAAAATCTATCCATCTAAGCTATTAATACTATTGTTTAACTCCCGTCTATATAAAACTAGACTGTAGCCCACATGTCCTCACTTGGATTTAGCTACTTTCTTGATTCCCACCGGTAAAAGTATCAGTTTCTGTCCTGGGGGAAAGGTTTCCTCTTCCTCGGGTGATTGTTTCTATTTCTGGCACTCATTCCACTAGCGATCTGGGGGCTCTTTTTAATACAAAGCCCCTGTCTGATTTCAGGGGTGTCCCTCTCTCTTGCAAAAACTGAGGGCACCATTATGTCCTCCTCACTGCTTCAATTCCTTCCGGGATTTTCCCCGTGTGCCCGTCTCTCCCCAAAGCGCGTAAAGCAGAAAAAGTTGCCCTCAACTTTCATGCTAATGTCCCCGCTCCATTGTTGATCCTTGCAGTTACGCGGGTGTTGGGGACGGACGATGCGGGATCGTCAGTCAGAAGCCACCGTCTATAAACAATCATCCTTGGACAAAATGTCAATCGGAAGAGCTGCGCATATTTACGCCTGGCCAGGAGCTGGTTCTCTGCGTTTGGGGGCAGCTGATCAGTAGGGTGGAGAAGGACATCCAGGGAAAAGCATCTAAACCTCCCGAATTTAGCATCCCTCTGCAAAACAGCTGTAGGGACACTTGAGGGGGTCGTAAAAGCAAAAGCCACTGCAACCTCCATTTCCTCCGCTGTTCACTTCTCTTTCCAAGGATCCGTTTGTGCCGGTCCCCCACCCCCCTCCCTCATCGGATCTGCTACTTTGTTCTTGGTCCCTTTTAAATGTATTTCGGCAAGCAAACGAGACACAGGTGCATGCAGGCTGAAAGTGAGCGAGGCCGCGATTCAATGGGATGGAGAGGGGGACAAGGGCAGGTTACTTTTCGTTGTTGACAAAGGAAGGGCAGAATCTAAACACCGCTCCAGACAATCAATGGACCCTTGTCTCCGGTTACAGAGCCGAGCTCTCTAAATGAGTCGGGCATGCTGATAACTGCAGGTTAGGCACCTGAGATAAACTCCTTCCAATGGCTTGATGGCGCAGGAGATAGAAAAGGATCTGGGGCATGATCTGCGGCTGTGGAGAGGCGCTTTGATTTGCCTATAAAAGAAAAAAGATCGGTGCACGGTCTAATTGCCAGGAGCGCAGTTGTCATGAGCCAGAGGACAAGCGCCCGGCGCAGCGGTCATTGTACCCTGGTGCTTATTTTCAGGACTGATTGTCATTACACCGGCACAAAATCTATGCCTAGTGATTCCCCTCCTGACAGTTTCCACTTCAAAAGCCTTCGGTCCTGTTGCGGGTAGTGGGAACAGCTTGGGGTGTCGGGGGTACATGCTGAACTAGGGGCAGCTCTGAGTTTGGGTTTCCGGGCCAGAAAGGTAACGCGAGCCCTCCTGGGACAAACAAAACAGTCGAGAGGTGACAGTCCAGCTTGGGGGATCTGATGGGGAACACGCTAAATCAATGGCAATCACGTCTTTATTGCCAAACCTCCAGAAACTATTCGGAAGGGAAGCCCCCTGTTTAGCAACACTTTCCTGATCCGAAGCCATCAATGGTTTAAATGCGTTCCCCTCTTCTCTGCCGCCCTGGCTGACGTCTTGAATGACACCGGGTCAATGTGTTGGTCTAATGATCTCTTCCTCTTGCAGGAACACCACCAGCATCTAGCAATGGGAAGACCCCGGTTCGCTGGCCCTAGCTGGCTAAATAGCTCTCCTGGGCGCTTTAAGGTCCTGGGGAGTTTATGAGGCTGCAGGAGGAGGTTGAATAGACGCGACCACCCGCGGGTTTGCGTTTAATTTTGGAAGCTGGGGGCTCCTAGGTATGACAGCCAGATCCACGCGCAAAGTCTCTCCTGGTTTCCAAAGCGATTAATGCCGCAGCCCTTATTTAGCGAGTCTTCCAGGTGAGGGTCAGGCAGAGTTCAGTGGGAGACACCTCTCCCGTCGCTTATTAAAGCAGCCTACAGTTTCCATCATTCCCTGCGCGCACGGATCGACCACATTTTCAGATCTAAGAAACCCCCCCCATACACTTCCAGTGCGCTCTCCAAGCCCCGCCAGATGTTCCCCAGCTGCTGCGTTCAGCTGAGTGATTTTTTAAGCTTGCCATCTACAATATTTT